ACACACACAGGAATATTACTCAGCCATTAAAAAAAAGTGAAATAATGCCATTTGAAGCAACATGGATGGACATAGAGATTATCATACTAAGTAAACTAAGAGAAAGACAAATATCATATGGTATCACTTATATGTAGAATCTAAAAAAATGATACAAAAATGAACTTACTTACAGAATAGAAATAGACTCACAGACGTAGAAAACAAACTTATGGTTACCAAGGGGGAAAGGAGGAGAGGAGGCATAAATTGGGAATTTGGGATTAACAGATACACGCTACTAGATATAAAATAAACAACAAGGACCTACTGTATAGCACAGGGAACTATATTCAGTATCTTGTAATAACCTATAATGGAAAAGAATCTGAAAAAGAATAGATCATAGATATATAGATATTTGTATAACTGAATCACTTTGCTGTGTACCTGAAACACTGTAAATCAACTATACTTCAATGCAAAAAAAAAGTGATAATAAATAAAGTACCCAGCCTTGTTTAACACTATCTCCAAATCGTTGTGCTTTACTCTCTTTAGTTATTATATGTATTAATATATGATTTATTTATATAATATACATAATTTCCAATAGAAATATAATTGAGTTACATACATAATTTTAAATGTTTTAGTAGCCACATTTTAAAAAGTAAAAAGAAACAAGTGAAATTAATGTTAATTAATTAACTCAATATATCTAAAATATCGCCATTTCAACATGAAACCAATATAAAAATTATCAATGACATTTTTTATTATCTTCAAAATTTGTTGTGTATTTTACCCTTACAGTAGCTTGTCTCAATTTGATCTACCACATTTCAAGTGCTTAATGGACATATATGGCTAGTAGCTACCATGTTAGGCTCTGCTTATAATGTGTCTTTGCTTAGAGAAATGTCATATAGAGAAAAGGGAATACTTCAGAATACCTGTTCCTTATTTGACATTAGAGAGATGATCATAATTTGTAGATTGGGGGAGAGCTATAGAAGCATAGAAAAATTAAGAAAATTAAATTTTATTTCAAAACCTGTAGTTGGGTTTTTTAAATTCATTATACATATTTATTATTGGGTTGGCCAAAAAGTTCATTTGGGTTTTTCATAGGCTGGAAAAACCCGAACGAAACTTTTTGGCCAACCCAATAACTTTAGAGATTATAGAAATGCCAATTTGGATTTTATTCACTAATGGAAATTCTTAAGAGGGAGTTTCCTTTGGTAATGTGGATAGTGTAGATTATTGGAAAGCATTTAGTTTCAACAAAATTCAATTCAGATGTTAATCTGAGTATGTACCACTAACCACCTATAACCTCGGGGGAAGCTAGTTTGAAGATCTGTTTCTCTTCAGAAAATTGCTTCAAAGGTTGAAAAAATTAAACCTCAAATAGCTTTTTAAATTTTTGTATCACTTATTATAAGCAGTCTTAGATATGAGTTTCTTTATGTAAACATTTTCTCAAAGTTGCTGGAAATTTCTTGTGATATATTTTTATTAAAGAAATATTATTTTGGCCTAGATAAGTCATTACCTGAAAAAGGAATTTGAAAAAGATGAGAAGCCACGTGACACGTCATATCAGAATGCAGTTTTAGAAGATATTTTTAAGAAGAACGACCATGATGGTGATGGCTTCATTTCTTCTAAGGAATACAATGTCTATCAACATGATGAACTATAGCATATTTTTATTTCTAAATTTTCTTAGCTATTTACTGTACTTTATATGTAAAACAAAGTCACTTTTCTCTGAGTTGTATTCTCTATTTTTCCCCCATGAACATATTTTGATCCCTTCAATGCATATAATTTTGGAATAATAAATGTGAGGCTGTTTTGCAAAAGTTAACTTTCAAGTAAGGCGTGATTGTGTTTCCTTTTGCTTTATTCTGTTAACATGAATTGCACCACCATAAAATCGACCTCTGCATCCTAGTGGGCAGCTTTTCCCCTTCAGGTTATAGGAGGACATCTATGTCAAAATCCACAAGCTCTTCCCAACTCTAACCTTAACAGCATGTATAGTTATGTAAATATCCAAATTTTAATATTTAAAGTGCCCCATATTTTAAAAATATTTAATAGGGACCCAGGAATTAACATTTCATTTGTTTATACATTTCACAGCATTATGGATAGTAGAATATAAAAATCATAGGACCGAGGAATCTTCCTTTAGTATACATGCAGGAAAGTATTAGTTGTATAACTCTGTCAGAGAGCCTCAACACAGTCTCTGTACTTTTTGGTGCAAGTTTCTGGCCTTAGGTATTTGTTCCAATGACTAATGTTTGAAAGACATTTCATCAGACCAAAGGCTTTGTGCCTCTATCTTAGAGCAGGCATCATAAAGTCTGTACTGCTCTGACTCTTGCATTCCCTCAGACATCATTATACGCCTCTTCCTTCTCGTAGGCCTTTATATCTACCATCCCTAACTTTTTGTCTTGATAGTTTTAAATTGATGCTACGCTATTTCTTAGTCTCCCTTTTTCTAGGTATCTCTATCCTATGTCACTTCTCACAATGTTCTTGTTATTAACCATGAACGAGCATTACAAACTGGTATGCCATCAAGTTTTTGATAAATGTGTAGAACTTATTTTACACATGAGGATATCAAATGAGGATGCAGGTGAGGATGTAAAGTGCCATGGCAATTTTGTGTCATGGTCAAATCATTGTGGTCCAACATGTTGAGAATAAGAGGTAAGAGATGCTGTAGAAAATCATGTTGGTACCCAAGAAAGGATACATATTTATTGGAACATGTAAGTTTTACTTACTGTGTATGTAGAAAGTGTGGTTAGGCAGTAAATAGCTCTATTCAAAACCAAGTGAGTTCAAAACAAAGTCTTTTCCATTTTCTGAAACTTGCTCTTTCCAAACCATTGTTCACTGTTCATCTTTTAACCTCTTTAAATATACTGCTAGAAATCCTATAATTTAAAAGTATAAGGGCAACACAAAAACCACTAGATTAGTGGATATTACATATGCATAGCACAGTTAGACACTTTGTAAAATAAAAACCTTTACTATCTTTTCTTTCCCCCCTATATTTCTTCATTCCTATACCCAATTTTATAACTCCTCACTTAATCATCAACTTTCATCCCTTTACTTCCCTCAGAAAAACCTGCTCCGTTCAAGTAAACTAAGTTGCTAATACAATATTATGTTTTGGTTTGGAAACTGCCCCCATTCTCTATATCCATATTAATAAAAGTCACTAGAGGTTTTTTTGATCAATATACTCATATTTGCACCTGAATCATAATATACTCGGCCCAAAACAAAAATACCGTGAAGGCTATAAATGGAAATTATCCTATGATACCAACTTTCTAATTCTAACCTTTCTGTCCCATTGTTTTCATACCAAGTGCTTTTAAACTTATGTTTGTTTTTTATTTATTTATTTTTGGCTGCATTGAATCTTCGTTTCTGCGCACAGGCTTTCTCTAGTTGTGGCGAGGGGGCGCTATTGGCCCTAATCAAGTAGAGGGCTCAGAAGAGCCTGACAAGTTTGATCAAGGAGAGACTTTTTGTCACAGATAATGCCAAACTGTTTACCAAAGTAATCGTACCAATTTGTTTTTCAACTAGTATGAGAGTTTCAGTTGCTTTTCATCCTCACCAAAGCTTACTATTAGCAACTTGAAGATTTTGAATACTTCTAGTATACCTAGTGCTATCTCATGGTGTTGTTTTTTTTTTTAAACACTAAATGGATTGAATCACTTTTATTTATTTTTGGCTGCGTTGGGTCTTCGTTGCTGCACTCGGGCTTTCTCTACTTGCGGTGTGGGGGGGGGCTACTCTTCCTTGAGGTGTGCAGGCTTTGCATTGCAGTGGCTTCTCCTGTTGCAGAGCACAGGCTCTAGGCGTGTGGGCTTCAGTAGTTGTGGCACGTGGGCTCAGTAGTTGTGGCTCGCAGGCCCTAGAGTGCAGGCTCAGTAGTTGTAGCGCACGGGCTTAGTTGCTACGCAGCATGTGGGAGCTTCCCAGACCAGGGCTCGAACCTGCGTCCCCTGCATTGGCAGGTGGATTCTTAACCACTGCGCCACCAGGGAAGTCCCTAAACTTATGTTTTAAAAAATTATAGGGCTTCCCTAGTGGCGCAGTGGTTGAGAGTCCGCCTGCCGATGCAGGGGACACGGGTTCGTGCCCCCGTCCGGGAAGATCCCACATGCCGCGGAGCGGCTGGGCCCGTGAGCCATGGCCGCTGAGCCTGCGCGTCCAGAGCCTGTACTCCACAACGGGAGAGGCCACAACAGTGAGAGGCCCGCGTACCGCAAAAAAAAAAAAAAAAAAAAATTATAGATTTTTAACTTTTTAAATAGTTAAAAAGATAAAATATTAATCCTTCCACATACATATAGTATACAAGTATTTCGTATTTACGTAATTGCCTAATGACTTCATAGACATATGCCTAGTAGTGACTGCTGTACTATTTGATTTCTGGAACTTTAACATAGTATTTTTGTAATAATTTTAAAATGGTGTATAGTAAATAATTTAGGTTGCTTGTGTATAAAAAAATTTCAGATGTCTTACAGAGTAGATGCAAAAGGTCTCACAGAACTAAATACGTTAAATGTTTTAAACATTTTCAAAGGAGAAAAGAAATAAACATGTCCCAGCTGCCTTAACTTTAAAATGACTGTAGTAAGTTTTTATAAAGACAAAGCTGGCGAGCACATATATATGTACATCACAAAATGGCAGCCCATTACTACTATCAGTCATCTTTAATTGTGTACACAAAACCCCACACTGAGCTCAGTGTGCTTTTAATTTGATACCACAATTAAACATTTAGGATTACATTAAATTATTAACACATTTTTCTCATTTTACCAGACCTAGGGCAACAGTTAAAGCACCATAAAGTTGCCACTTGTGTATCTTGTCATTCTTAGATCTTGAATTAAAAGCCAACTAAAAATAAAATTGATATCTAGAAAATTTCTATGTAAAATGAGACTAAATCCCAAAATATACTTCTAAAGTGACTGGCAGATTTTATGAAGGAATATCTATATTCTGAATTTTATATTTAAACCTTTTCCAATATAAACATTATTAATCCTCATGACAATTTATGAGGTAGACACTATTATCATCTCCACGTAATAGATGGGAGAAATGATGCCCAGACAGGTTAATTTCTTGTTCCCCTCCCTCTTTAATGTGCTACAACTCATCAAAGCAAACCTAGATAATTTTGGAAAGGTGTGTGGCACAGTTGCACCTAAAGCACCAGCAAGATACATTGATTTTCCATTTTATTTCATTCTCTTGTGCCAAACATCAAAACAAGGAACTGCATGAAGTCTCACATACTTCTGCCCATCGACAGAGCACTGAAAGCACCCATAAACCGTCTCCCTTTTAAAGCTCCCCATGCCACAGAGTATGCAAGGTCCTTTTGGAATGCTGTGATTAAGTAAATTAACTCGGATATGAGTCCCTTCTTTGAGTGAAATATCACTCATGCTGAGAGATTTGTCATAATAGTCAGAAAAAAGATCATCTAAGTAAAGCTGTGAACGAGAAATGGCATCCATCACTCTTCTATCTAAAAGGACAAAAAAAGAAATGTGTTAAAAGTCAAATAAAAAATGTATAGCCAAACTGCAATTATAACTATGTGTGAATCTAAACCATCAGTCATGAAATTTGGCTTTTAAATTTAAATTCTTAAGACAGTATTACTGAAGAGATAACCTCAAGTGTTAATCTGAGAAGCAAAAAATCTTCAGCGGACATACTTCTTTCAAATAGTATATTTCTCAATCTGTAGAGCAGTGCAAATGTTGCCGTTTCTTCCATTTCAAATCCTCCTTTTGACACTGAAGTGACACAAAGGTCTATAAAAAAAAATTTAGAAGATGTTATAATTTGAACAACTCATATATATATATTTTTTGCGGTACGCGGGCCTCTCACCATTGTGGCCTCTCCCGTTGTGGGGTGCTCCGGACGCGCAGGCTCAGCAGCCATGGCTCACGGGTCCAGCCGCTCCGTGGCATGTGGGATCTTCCCGGACTGGGGCACGAACCCGTGTGCCCTGCATCGGCAGGCGGACTCTCAACCACTGCGCCACCAGGGAAGCCCAAACAACTCATGTTTTATTGGGAGTTTTAATTGTGGTTGAATTCTGGTATGTGCCATTCATTTTATTTTTTTAAGTTAAATTTTACATATTTTTAGAAAAGGTAACATTTACATGGTACGAAATTCAAAGAGTACAAAAAGAGGATACGGTGACAAATAAGTCTCTACGTTGACCCCAGCCTCAGTTTTATACCCCAGGGTAACCACTGTTGTGTGTACTTCCAGAAATACTCCATACATTTTACATGCATAAAGAATATGTATATATGTATGTAAGTATGTATATATATAAAATTGTTTAGGCTCAAATAGATACACATTTCTTTAAAATATCATAGAGATTATCCCATGTCAGGATCTTCAGTGCTACATAATTCCTAATGGCTTCACAGTATTCTATTGTGTGGATGCACCATTATTCAACTAGCTGCTGATAATACACCTTAAGGTTATTTCCAATCTTTTGCTATTATGAGCTGACTATCCTTATACCCACATCATTTCATATATGTATATCTATAGGATAAATTCCTAAAAGTGTAAATAAGGCTAAAATATATGTAATTTAAAATTTTGATGGACATATCAGTTCTATCAGTTTACACTTCTAATGATCAATATTATTGTAAAAACCTACACCCTTGGACTTCCCTGGTGGTCCAGTGGTAAAGAATCCGCCTTGCAACACAGGGGACACAGGTTTGATCCCTGGTCAAGGAACTAAGATCCCACATGCTGCGGGGCAACTAAGCCCACGAGCCACAACTACTGAGCTCGCGCACCTCAACTAGAGAGCCTGCGTGTGGCAAACTCTAGTTGCCCATGCACTCTGGAACCCGAGCGCCACAACTACAGAGCCCACGTGCCCTGGAGCCTGCATGCCACAACTAGAGAAGAGAAAACCCGCAGGCCACAACTAGAGAGAAGCCCGCGTGCTGACACGAAGAGCCCGCGCGCCACAACGAAAGATCTCGCGTGCCCCAACGAAGATCCCGCATGCCTCAGCGAAGATCCCACATGCTGCAACCAAGACCCGATGCAGCCAAAAGAATAAATAAATACATCTTTTTTTACAAAAAACCTACACCCTTTAGTGTCCCAGATAGAATTTAATTAGTATGATTTGTTTCTGGGCTCCCTATTCCCTCCTCCGACAGAACTGCAGAAACAAAAACAGGTCTAAAAATGTTCATAAATCACCATGGCTAAGGGGCTCCCTTGCCTATTCCTTTGGGCTACACCTAGACTTGAGCTGGCTGGTCTAATAATCTTAAAACCTGTGAAATGTAGAAATTTAAACTGAGCTGCACTGCAGTATTATATAAGGTGACAATTTGGGGGAATTATTTGTAACTTTAAGGTTTTAGGGAAAGTCCGGAGTTGGGGGAGCTGGGTCTATGAAAGGAAAACCGGAAGAAAGGTTGTCTTTGGGCACCCTAGTTTGGATGCCTTGACACCTTCGACATCTTACTGTCTACCTACTCTATTTGCCTTCATCAAAAGCTACCTGTTAGACGATAATTTTTTATTTTCCCGTATAAGTCAAGGAAATACTGTCAGTGGACTGTGTTCTCACTCTTAGCTCTAATTATAAGTGGGTGGCGGGAAGACTACAGCCTTCCCCAAGAAACAGGGACGAGGTGATGAGTAAGTAAGGACTGGAGGGTCTTTCCCAGTTACTTCACCCAAACATAACACTGACAGTACTTGAGAGCAGCACTCTTCTATTATTAGACACTCAGAAAGAGGCAGAGATTCTCGCTAAATCCTTCTTTAAAAATACAATCATTTTGGTGTTTCATGCAAATCACTCACCAAAGGCACCATCCAAGTAAATGAAGAGTTCGAAAACACTGAAAGCTATGGTTGTGTGTGCTGGAAAAACAATAGCTTTGTCCCTTCCCCTGGGATTCTGTTCATCCATAAAATGAAACTATATTAAATAAATTAAATAACATGGTTAAGGAGCACAACACATAAGGATATATTTTTGGAGAAACAAAACATTCCCCACAATCCTACCAAAAACAAACATCCCCACCCCTACAAGCAAAGAATGCTCCTACTTGAATTCAACTGTTTCTAGCAGAGGTCCAAATTAATGGTCCATTGGAGACTTGTGATCTATATTAGGAAATACCTCTCACTACTTTCTCATTTACTTTGTATCAGAGCCAATGATTAGTGCTACCACATGGGTAATGCTCTCTGGCATAGAAACGTTTTTCTTTCAACTGTAAACCAACTGCCTTTAAGTGCTACAGTTGTTTTTAGCCTATTCTGTCCACTGTTCCAAAGCAATTACCAACAATTAAGTAAATGTTTCACTCAGTTCATGCCCCCAAAATGATCCAATGTTAAACAATTTGGTGGGCACCTAAATGTAGCCACTGAACAGAACCTTCATTTGCAAAGATTTGAAACGATTATCATTGTACCCTATCTTTCTAATAATTCATTTTAATAAAACAAATCAAGTCATTATTATGCGTCATTATTAGGTGAATGACAAGGACAAATAATACCATAATTGAGCTAAAAATTAAACACAAATAGCTTTCAACATTTTTTTTTTTTTTTTTGCGTTACTCGGGCCTCTCACTGTTGTGGCCTCTCCCGTTGCAGAGCACAGGCTCCGGACGCGCAGGCTCAGTGGCCATGGCTCACGGGCCCAGCCGCTCCACGTCATGTGGGATCTTCCCAGACTGGGGCACGAACCCGTGTCCTCTGCATTGGCAGGCGGACTCTCAACCACTGCGCCACCAGGGAAGCCCCTCTTTCAACCTTTTTTAAAGAACTTAACATTGAATGAAGCATGTTTGGCCATTAACAATATTATTTTAGAAAAATTAATTTAATATAAAAATATAAACTCAACTTTTTAAAATTCAAGTAAAAACTGTATCACTTAAAAATAAAATCAAAGAACTCAACATAACCACTCAATTTGTATTCTTAAAACAGCATAATAGTAATATGAGGGACTCCATTGTACACATTATTTCACAAGGATTAGTGTTTTCTAACATTATTTTACATGTTTATAATTCAAATTTTCTTGGATTTTTTTTCATACTCTAAAACAAAACCATTGGTGTGCAAAATTCTATATACAATTGCAGCTTTTTAATCTCAACATTTGACAAAATACACAAGGCTCATTAGAAACTGAATACTTAAAAAATTCCCATTGCAGCTTTTTAGTAAGAGAAGTCTAATGAGTCTAATGGTTTACCCTCATGGATTCCCCACGAATTCCAGCGTGCACAGACAGTGAGCACTGTCGTGTGGTTCGGATGCTTTCCATGACCACACACAATACTGCCTTTCTGCTCCTCCTTGACTGACGTATCAAACTGTGGTCAAAATTAATTTTTCTAAAATCAAGAAGACAGACATTCACAAGAATCTGTAACATCTAACTATGTATAATCAAGTACATTTTTTGATTATCATGTGTTACTATTCACGATCCACCTTAATTAAACCAAGGCAGTCCTAATACAAATCAGAAGGTGTGCTCAAAAGAAATTTAATAATCTGCCTCTCCTTCCTATTTTGTTAAAACATGCATACTATAGGAGTCTGTTGGAGGAGACTCTCTTAGTGTATTTGCTGCAAGCAGATTCTTGAAGTCTTGTAATCTTATAATTTAGCAAATGCGGCAGAGCCAAAGTGATTTTGCAGAGCAATTAAATATTTTTTAAACCAAATTATTCCAGATATCTACACTTATCCAAAGCTTGGACATATTACTAATTTGCAGTATTTCAAATAAATCAAACAAATTACTCTAATAAAATATAACCCGAATGTTTTAAGCACTCTTTGTAATGAAGTTTATTTAATAAAAACATGGAAGTATTATACTGACCGTGTAGTAATTTCCTTGAGTAATGTTGATACTTCCACTTCATGTTTGGTTACTACACCAAATGAAGCTTTTACTGCAACTGAATCTGATCCAGTGACGTTAATCCCAACGTCATTCACAATATGGTTGCCTCGCCTTCCATAAAGTGAAACGTCTGATTCATCTTCATAATTCAGTAACTGATAAGATGAAACACCTTTAAGAAAAGGAAATCAATATTTTAAATGTCTTGAATTCATCTAATGTAAATATGTATAGTAGCACATTAATTTACCATTTAAGACTTGATTACCCAAATGTTGAGAATGACAACATCTTAAACCAAGATTAAAAAGAGCAATTCAGGGCTCCCCTGGTGGCGCAGTGGTTGAGAGTCCACCTGCCAATGCAGGGGACGCGGGTTCGTGCCCCGATCCGGGATTGCCATGGCTGCTGAGCCTGCGCGTCCGGAGCCTGTGCTCCGCAACGGGAGAGGCCGCAACAGTGAAAGGCCCGCGTACAGCAAAAAAGGAAAAAAAAAGAGCAATTCAATTAATCTGACAACAAGAGAAATAAATATCTAGAGTACTTTAAATGAACTCAAGTTCTCTTTCAGCCAACAGCATACTTAAGCATCAAGATCCACTGGCTAGCTGAAAGAAAAACAAGAGTTTATAAGAAAAATTTGTTAAAATGTTAATATTAGCCTGTTAATACATTTCAGCTTACCGACTGTAGTAACTGAATCAAAAAATAAATACAAATGACTTTCATCACATTTAACCATGTGAGATAGGCAAGACTGAATAATACCCCCATTTTATAGATGAAGAAATATACTATTATGTCATATTCTAAGTTGATTTGGTTAAAACAATTTATAAAATAACTGAAATTAAATTATACAATAAATAATCTTATAAAATACATTTGAAATTATTCAACCAATAATAGATTTGATAGTATAAAAACGTTAGGCATTGTTAACAATATTATTACTGTCACAGTAATAAGAGTTGCTTTTATCAATGAAAATACATAAATATTATGAACATAGGTAGCACAGACAACCTATGTTTAGATTACCAATAATATAACTGAGTGAGTAGTCACTCCCAAACAGACATTTAAACTTACCAGCTGAAATTTCTCTGTCTCCTAGAAGAATATCTTTCAGTGTAAAGGGTGTTGAAGTAAATTTATATCTAGGAAACAGAAAACATCTCTTCTTTTTTACCACCAGACTTAGAGGTTGGTATTTGTCAGCCTCACTGAGGCTTGGAACGGGAACTAATCTCCCTCCATCTCCAACTTGTTTGACAAAGCTCTTGGTAGCCGCAGCAAACATATTAATACAGTATTAAAACGTCATGAACTGCAACCCTCAGATAACAAATCCATGTTTTCAAAAAAAATCAGGCATAAAACTAAGTCTTGCTTGATTTTAAATATAATTCTACACGTTAAAAATACAAAGCATGGTTTCACTGAGTAGCTTACCAGTGTACAATTTACAACACTACCTCCCCTGGTGTGCTCAGGTAATGAATTATAGATTAACGGTGTAAAATGATATACTAAAAGCAAGTCTAATTTGGAATTGCAGTCTATAACACTAAAATATACACAGAAAACTACTAATCTTTAAATATTATCAATGTGCTTGATGACGGTCACAGCTGATAGTGGTTTGCCAGGTTCAAAGGAAGCATATAACCCTACAGGGAACAATACGTTAGCCACTAACATTAGCCCTGGATGCCATCCACAGTGGACCTAGTCCAAAGGGAATTCCTTCACAAGTCCATTGTGCCAATTTTGGCGACAGAAAAGCACTATTTCTGTGTTATGGTACACAGTTCATTCTTTGAACATTTCATTCATTTTCCTTGTGTGTTTACAAAATCAAGTGATTAATATAAAAATAAATTCACAGAATATAAGGAAACAATTGTATGCAGAACTTTATAAAATACTAAATGAAAGTCATATTACATATGTGTAACTGCATAAACTCTGACTTAGGAGTTTCTGTTGAAGCTGGCACATAGTGTCTCTCTGAAATAGAGTACTGCTGCATTTATTTTCTTTTTGTTTCATCATTACTATCCAGTTTCTCAACCTTTAAAGAGAGCTGTATAAAGTTTAGACTTGTTTTTAAGAAATTTTATGGCTAAATCTTAGAAACAAATCTGAGTGCTGAAATAGTGTACTGTCATAGCTATGTGGATGTTAACATAATTTTGAAATAGTGGCTATGTGGTACTTAAGATATTCATTAAAACAGCAATGGATAGTAATCGATATACAAACATCTATAGAGGGGGTAGAGGGAGGAAGAAAATACAGGCTTAATTCAAGCCTCAAATAATGTAAATCACTTTGATTAGACTCCGGACAGCTTTTTCATTTGCTTTCAAGTACCCAGGGTTCGAGAGAAACAAACAAAAAGTTCCTAATAAGGACCCTTCGTGTGAATAGCATCATGCAAGGCAATCTTCCAGAAACGAGAAAGCACAAGGAGTTATTACTGCAACTGGCAAGCAAAACCCCTAGAAGAGATACGACATCTAATGTCGCTGTCTGATCCCCACCAAAGGTGGTGCATCCCAAGCAAACGCCATTACAACCAACACAGGTGTGCAGAAACAGCATTTAATTAGAATCGGGTCCACAGAAAAGCCTTCGTTTACACCTAACGTGCCTTGCTGGGATCCGCTAGCCCAGCACTCATCAGGCGATGAAAGCCTAGAAGACAATGGAGCCCACGTGGGGGTGAGAGGAGTGGGTGTCCGGACGCTCCCGCGAGCACCTAAAACCAGGACTCCAGGACAGGAGCCCACCTCAGCCCTCAGGAGCGGGTATACCGCGAGTCTCAGGCTTCGGGCCCAGGCCTAGGGAGGCTCTCCGGCAATTTTGCATTTGGAATTTTAAAATCATTTTCTTAAAGTGACGCACCGCTCCTCTTCCCCGTCCCCCGCAACCCCCTCCAAAAAAAAAAAAAAATGGCTGAGCTTCAGGCCTCACAGTCGCTGAAGCTTGCCCGCCCGACGACAAGCCTCTCTCTGGGCAGGGAGCGGCCTCCTTTTCAGGACACACAACTGCGGTCTCCACTAGCCGCTGGACCGAAGGTGGCGCACGGGCCGGGGCTGCGAGGGGGCGGGGCCGCCGAGGAGCTCTACCCGAGCCGGGACAGCAGGAGGCGTGACCGGGAGCCGGGACCGGCGCTACCGCACAGAAGCTCCGCCTCCGCCCCCCGCCCATCCCCTGGAGGGACGCAAGCGGGGAGGGGAAGGGGAGTCGGAGGAGGGGAGGAGGTGGTGGCGTCGGCTCTAGCTCGCTCCTCTCGGGGACCGACCGACCCGCGGAGCGAAGACGTCGCTCCACACTGCTCTTCCTCCCGCCGCAAAGCCGTCCCTTCTGGCCATGTCTCAGAGCAGGCATCGCGCCGCGGCTCCGCCGCTGGAGCGCGAGGACAGCGGGACCTTCAGGTCAGCGCCCGAGCGGTCGGGACCGAGCGGGGCAGGGCCGGGAGTGGTGGGCAATAGAGGAGGGGGCGGGGGAGCCGGCTGTCCAGCGGCATTCTGGGTAAAGCCCCTTCCTGGCGCTCGCGTCCTCGCGGCTGCTGGCGGGCGCTCGGCCCCGCCCTCTCGGCGGCGAGCGGGCCGGGGTCTACGGCCCGGCCCCGCCCCTCCTGCGGCCTCGGGAGGCTCGGGGTGGCCGGAGGTGGTTCCCGGCCGCCGCCTGGGAAAGGGGTTTATAGGCTTGGTCCCGGGAGGTTGCAGCACCCGAGCGTACCTCCCGATTCCCCCGCGAATCCCTCCTACCCGCATTCAAGTTGTCTCCCTAAAGACCTCCCTCACCCTGCCCGCCGCCCGCCGCAGCGGGGCCGGGAGACTGTCGCGCCTCGCCACCTCTAGCCCTGGCCGACGAGGAGCTTCGGTGCCTCCGGCGTCACCGTTGGTGGCTGTTAAAACTAGTCTTTATTTGCTTATGCTTCCCTCCCCGCTTTGACATGCAAAGCACAGCTTTTTCTGGTTTTTGCAGTTTGGGGAAGATGATCACAGCTAAGCCAGGGAAAACACCAATTCAGGTATTACATGAATACGGCATGAAGACCAAGAACATCCCAGTTTATGAATGTGAAAGATCCGATGTGCAAATACACGTGCCCACTTTCACCTTCAGAGTAACCGTTGGTGACATAACCTGCACAGGTCTGTATGCACAACGAACCCCGATGACCATGTGGGTTGGCGGGTCAAGACTTGGTATTGCTTCTTAGTTCGGAAAAGTACCCTTTTTACCAGAGACAACAGTGAGGAGCAGGCTCTTAAAACTGATACCTTTCTCAGGTCATTGGGACTTTCCAACTTCCTGATCCTCTCCCTAATTTTCTGTTCCCCAGATACCAAGAGAAGCTCAGAAACATACCCTAGGATCCTCCTAGGGATCTTCCAAGAATTAGGGAGAAGCAGGAAAGGCTCTTGGAGCAGCCATAGATGAATCAGTAGGTGCTGTCAAATTTCATAGGTTATAGCAGATGTCAGGAGGCATGACCCCAGAATTTTCTGAGCTGCTCCCCTCTATGTATGGACTCATTTGGCACTTTGGGCTCATTGTACCACACTCGGTTCTGTATCCAAGCAAAATGAGGAAGGCGGAAAGCTCAACTATACTATATTGCATAGCAGCTTCTAGTTCCTGGCACTGTACAGTATTTTAATAAGATGTTATCACCTTTTTTATACATGAGGAAATAGGTCCAGAGAGATTATAAGAAACATGCCCAAGGTCACAGAGCAATGAAGTTTCAAAATTAAGATTCACCTTATTATGGTCATTGAACTTGAGCAAATGAGAACTGAAGTAGCCCATTTGTAAATGTAGACATTTTATTCCTTATGTATCTATTTAATTGCAAACACAAAAAATATTGAATACTAAATTTAATTTGGAAGAATGCCAAGAAAAAAATTCAGCAAGAAGGCTGAAGTTCCACCATCTGGTAATCTGAAGGCATCATTTGTTTGTGTCCCTGAAAATCTGGATTCCGCTATTTTCATTGAAGCCACTTTAAGAAAATTTTGAAGCTTTTTTGTCTATGTGGGGCAGGTGGATTGTAGCTAGATTGTAGCTAGAAGGTTCCTCATATGAACCATGGAATCAACATTTGCACTACTGCTTTAGCTGGTCTATTTTAAAATATTCAGTGAAAACTCAAAAGTAGCCTTTTTCCCTTCAGTGTGTTTTAGATCAGAGATTAACAACCTGTGGCAACTGCTTAGTCCCCCTACTCTTCTCACACTGTCCTGTCTTCCTGTGCAAGCTTATCTACCTCCGTGGCTTCAAATACTATCTAAAGGCTGATAATTCTGAAACCTCTGTCTTCAGCCCAGGTGCAGTTACAGAACAGTGTATCTGCCTGTGCTTGCTAGGCATTATTGCTTGGATGACCCAAAGACACCTCAGTCTCTCACTGTCCCAAACTGAATCCATCTTCTCTCTCAAATCCATTTCCCCTGCATTCCCCAGCTCAGTAAAGGCACCACCGTCACCCGTCTGCTTACAGTAGAAATTTGGGTTTCACCTTCTTGACCCCTTCTTCTCCCTCTGCCTATTGTCCAGTCTGCCCCCAAATCCTACTTCCTAAATTCTCTTGAATCTGTCTGCTTCTCTCATCTTTCTGTTGCTACTATCCGAGCCACATGGATTGTAGTTGCAGCCTCATAGCTGCTCTTTTAGCTTCTATCTTGTGGTATCCATTTTCCACACAAAAACCAGAGTGTTTTTTCTGGCATTCAAATCTGTGCATGTACTTCCTCTTTTTAAAATCCATTCAGTGGTTTTCCCATCACCCTCTGGATGAATATAAATTTCTTAACATCATTGACAACCTTACTTCTCAAAATGTGGTCGACAGCAGCATTGCTATCACCTGGGCACTTGAAAGAAGTGCAGAATATCAGGCCCCATCCAACACCTACTGTTAGTATGCATTCTAACCAAATTCCCAGGCAATTCCTAAAGTTTGATAAGCACAAATTTAGGAGACCATTCTTTGACCTCTCCTACCCTTCAGCTCTCTAGCCTTTTGCCTCAAAGTTCCTTTCCTCAAGCTCTTACTGTCCCCTACAACTTGGGGCCTGAGAACACCATGCTGTGTGTTACCTCTGAGGCTCTCCAAGTACTTTCTCCACCTACAGTGCTCTTCCTAATCCTCCAGCTCTCCTCACCTCACTAACTTTTACTAATCTTTCAGGTCCTTGTTTAGTTATCTCCTCCTTCATGAAACCTTTCTGAATCCTTACCAAGAGTAGGGGAGCTATCCCTTTTGTAGGCTACCCTACAACCTGCACTTAGGCCTGCTGTGATACTCCACATTTCAGACGTTTTTTTTTTTTCTTTTGGTACGCGAGCGTCTCACTGTTGTGGCCTCTCCCGCTGCGGAGCACAGGCTCCAGATGCGCAGGCTCAGCGGCCATGGCTCACGGGCCCAGCCGCTCTGCGCCATGTGGGACCTTCCCGGACCAGGGCACGAACCTGTGTCCCCTGCATCAGCAGGCGGACTCTCAACCACTGCGTCACCAGGGAAGCCCCCAGATGTCTTTTTATAGACAGAATCTCACACATTAGGCTGTATGCTCTTTAAGGGCAGGGACCCTGCTTAGCTCTCTACTATGGTTGACCCTTGAACAACACGGTTTTGAATTACGCAGTCCACTCACACGAGAATCTTTTTCAGTAGTAAATACTACAGTACCATACAATCCATGGTTGGTTGATTCCGAGGAAGCTAGAAATGGAGGAACTAAAGATACAGAGGGCTGACTATAAATTATGGGTAGATTTTCAACAGCGCAGAGGGTCGGTGCCCCTAACTCCCACATTGGTCAAGGGTATATCCTTAATACCTATGTTAGTGGGTAAATAAGTGTGGTTTATGTGGTCTCCGACACTTGAGAGCCATGCTTGAAATTTATTCCATGTTCCTTTTCTTTCCTCCACACAGGAGGAATGGACATCAGCATTCTGATACCACTTTGGAAAGGTTCTCAACACCTAGTTTGAAGTCAGAAGGAAAAAGATTGAATTTACAATTTACTTGTGTGGTTGCTTACTAAAATTAGGCATCAGTCTCAGTGATTAGTCAGGCCTAGTCCCTTCTGCCCCCTTAGCTACCCATGTAAGGGATACAGATTATATGGAAGACGCTTAAGGTAATCTCTCAACTTCTTCCCTATACAAACCTTCCCCCACTGTATCCAACAGGTAGTCATGACTGCTTAGCCAAGCAGAGGGGTTTAATTCAGTATAGGAGGGGTTGTTACAGTGAAAGTGTGCACATTTTGCTGACAAACGGTGTTGCTGTAAGTGGCTCCTTTAAAGGAAACTTGTTGCTATAGAAGAATTTCCTTTCTAAGAATAATGTAATAAGTTGCATTTCTTCAGAAGGTATGACATAGTCTACTTTATTACTTTATGTAATAAGCATGTATAATGTATACCTGTATAATGATTTTTATACAGGTAAACAAAAATACATATAATTTTTTAAATCACAGGGATTTTTTAATGTATTAACTTCATATGGTATTTTATTTCAGTGTATAACTGTATGCAAGTGTATGTTTTTATTACCTAGTGTGTATATATATAAAATGTGTAGTGGCTTTGTTTTGTATTATGCAAACATCTATGTAAGCCTCACATTTTCACAGCATGTAAAGAGTTTTTTTTTTTTTTAACCTTAATTCAGGTGAAGGTACAAGTAAGAAGCTGGCGAAACATAGAGCTGCAGAGGCTGCCATAAACATTTTGAAAGCCAATGCAAGTATTTGGTGAGCTAAATTTCTTTGTATTCTGCAGCTCAAAAATATCATGGCTGAGGTAAGGTTAAAAGTTTGAACATGCTCACAAAAGCAACAAAGTAAACAGTTGTTAATATCTAGCTCTAAAATTCTATTTCCTTGTGAAGACCTGTCATCCACTAAAGACAACTTTATCCGTAAGAAATTAAATCCAGCTATTAATTAGTAGATGAAGGCTCTATTAATTAGTAGATGAGGTGCAACACTAGAAAACCAGAGTGTTTCTGGCAAACATCTTACTGGATTAAGAGTTTGTTTCTACAATGAAGAAAACAAGGTGTGAGATAGAAAAAGATCAGCTAAAAGTATTCTTTTAGAAATTCGAATTTGAAAGGAGACAAAGAGATTTCCTTCTAAATGTGATGTTAATTCTTTTTTTTTTTAATACATTTATTTGATTTATTTATTTTTTTTTGGCTGCGCTGGGTCTTCTGTGTCTGTGCACGGGCTTTCTCTAGCTGCCGAGGGCTTCTCATTGCAGTGGCTTCTCTTGTTGCGGAGCACAGGCTGCAGGCGCGCAAGCTTCAGTAGTTGTGGCTCGCGGGCTGTAGAGTGCAGGGTCAGTAGTTGTGGCGCACAAGCTTAGCTGCTCCACGGCATGTGGGATCTTCCTGGACCAGGGCTCGAACCTGTGTCCCCTGCATTGGCAGGCGGATTCTTAAACACTGTGCCACCAGGGAAGCCCCTGGGATGTTAATTCTTGACAAATATTTCCAAAATAAATTTGTTATCACATTAGGTGCTTTTGGAAGGAGCACTGGTCCTGGAGCATCTCATGTATTGTAAATTGGTGTCCTTTGATTTCTAATGGGCACATCCAGGAGCACATTTTGCCTGTAAGTTCTTCCCTTTACGCGCACTCAAGTATATTTGGAGTACAATCTGGTATATCTGCTCATAGCTGAGAGCAGAGGCCCATGGGAATTTAGGATGGGTTTTTTGTTTCCTAGTCATAGAAGAACTTCTGGCTTAGGGATATATTGATATTTAGGTTCTCTCTCATGCAGTGTTCCTCCCATTTACTTAGTAATTCTAAACCTTTTAGGTAGTTTAGAACCAACCAGCAAAAGCCTTGGATCTCACAAAATGACTAGGGTCATACATTATAAATGATTTATGCTAGCTTTCTGGACATGCCAAATGACATGGCGGGTTTTGGATTTTCCCCTTGCTGGTGACGGCCATGCCATTTCTGTGCAATCCAAAGGTCAACCCAAAGTGTTGCATATATTCATAGAAATTAGTATACAGAGTGTACTTTCTGCACATGGGTACTTCACTTTGTCAGCAAAAAAGGCTAACAAACCTTACTATGTATTTGTGCTTCTTGACAGATAAGATGGGAATTGCTAAGCTGTAAATCAGGCTGAAAGTGGCCTAATATGATAGAGACTTTCTCACTTCTCCATCACAATTACTTGGGTAGCTTCAGTGTACAGCATTGTAAGTGAATATTTGTATCTCATCAGCTTATGTAAAGCTTGAAATTCTGGCAGGTAGAAAAGAAACTTGAGGGCTTCCCTGGTGGTGCAGTGGTTGAGAGTCTGCCTGCCGATGCAGGGGACACGGGTTCGTGCCCCGGTCTGGGAGGATCCTGCATGCCGTGGAGCGGCTGGGTCCGTGAGCCATGGCCGCTGAGCCTGTGCGTCCGGAGCCTGTGCTCCGCAACGGGAGAGGCCACAACAGTGAGAGGCCCGTGTACCGCAAAAAAAAGAAAAAAAAGAAAAGAAAAGAAACTTGAGGAAATGGCAATAACAACCTCGCTGGTCATGGAAGAAATGCCTCTAGCTGCTTAGGTGGCAGTAACCTTGAAATGCAGCTTGTTCCACGTTAGGCATCCATCACCCAAGTAACTACTAAGTTCACACTACTTAGAAGAGGTTGTTCTCTTTTTCTCTAATCACAGTCCCCACATGCTCAAATCAGATTCATGCTGGCCATCAATTTTATACAGGATACATATAAATCTTAGGAAGATTATCCTAGCATAGAGCAGATAATAGATCAAACCAGGTCTTTCTTCCATAATTATCTGGATGAAAAAGCTACATTTATGATCTGTATGGTTTACATTGCCAGGCTAAACTTCCTGTTAGTCTTCCCTTTTTTTGTAGTTGTAACAATAGTGTGCTTTATTTAAATACATTTTTATTGAGCATCTATTATATATAAAGCACTGCAAGGCTTATGAGGGTAAGTAATACATAGGCCCTACCATTAAGGATTTTATAGTCTGAACAGGGGAGAGGTGTGGTGAGGGATAGACAAATCACATGTATTTGTAAGAGTGTACAACTTATGGTAAAATAATTTGTTTAAGAAAGGGTCAAACCAAATGTTACAGTGGTTCAAAGAAGGGAGAAGTTATGTTCCACTGGGGTAAAAGAATAGGCTTCTGAGAGGAAGTGGCAATTGAGGTATACCTTGGATGATGGATAGATCAGATTCTTACAGAAGAGGTGGGCGAGAAGGGTATTCCACGTAGAAGGAAAGGCAACAGCAAAGGCATGGAAAGCTAAATTGAAAATGCTTGTCCTTTACTTAATAATTTAGGGGAGATTATTTTGTTTTATAACACTTTATAAAAATGTTTAGCTTTGCAGTTCCGGATCCCTTAATGCCTGACCCTTCCAAGCAACCAAAGAACCAGCTTAATCCTATTGGTTCATTACAGGTAAGTGGCACAGTTTTTCCATACTTAACTTTTTGTCTACTGAAAAAAATGCCATAAATTTTGATAATATCATAAGGGCTGAGAGAAGGAATTAATATTTTAAAGATGGTATAACATTTTGTGTTCCAGGTTATGATCATTAGATGTTAAAGTGCTAACTTGAAATTATTTTCCTATTTATTTATGTTTTGGATTTTCTTCCATATACAGTATCTGCCTTTGGTTTGTGGAATTCTCATTTGAGATCAGCAGGACCTCAGTGCACATGGGTAGAGTGTTTTATATTTTAAGAATATTTCTTGCCACTCTTGTGACAAATCTCTACTTCTGTTGAGACAGAAGACTTTATAAGAACCCAAACTGAGTAACCTAACTCAAGAAAAGGGAAGTCGTTTGCTTATTTGCTTATTCTACCAAAAAAATATATTCAGCTTTGAATTTCTGTGTGCAGAATATCCTCCTTGCAGACTATCCATGTGCTCTGTTGGACAACTCCCCTCCCTATTATCCAACCAGTCCTTTGGTCTCTTTCCTCCTCTGAGTTTTTCTGTAGTTTTCTTCCCCTTCTTTCCTCAACCTCATCCAAGTGTGTTTGTTTGCTGTCTGCTTCTCATCTGCTCTCGATCGAATGTAGTTAGTTAGGCAGCCATGGGTATGGAAGGTTATAGTTAGGAGGGGGGAGGCTTTAGGAACTGATGGCTGTGAGACCTGTAGCTGTCCTCTCTGATGTTCCCAGAGGCTGAACGTAGCTTGTCTTTCTGTTTGAACTCTTTGATATCAACTCACTACAGCTTAATGGAAGAACACCATTCACTGCTTCACCACAGGAAAACTGCTTCCGTTTTGGTATTGTGGGCCTATAAGATATAAAATGCAGGAATATCTCTGGGAAATAGAGGGCCTTCTCTCATTTTTTTCATTGCAGAATATCATTATTCTTTGCAAACATATAAATAGATATGGGATCAAAATCATGAGAGAATATCATTTGTGTGATTGAGCCACTCACTGCACAGTAAAAATTACTAATAAATCTTCATCTCGATTTTCTAGGAATTGGCTATTCATCATGGCTGGAGACTTCCTGAATATACCCTTTCCCAGGAGGGAGGACCTGCTCATAAGAGAGAATATACCACAATTTGCAGGCTAGAGTCATTCATGGAAACTGGTACTTATTCCTTTTTACCCTCATACAGTTGAAGACATTTGAAATATTTTGAGAAGATGAATGACCATAGAAATTTCTGTTGTGATTTCTTTTCAAATATTTCTATGGGGTAAAAAACTGACACTCCTGGTCTACTGTTTCTAACTTCCTGCAGTTGAATTTTTTTTTTTAATTTTTAAAATTTATTATTTATTTTTGGTTGCGTTGGGTTTTCGTTGTTGCGCGCGGGCTTTCTCTAGTTGCGGCGAGCGGGGGCTACTCTTCGTTGCGGTGCGCAGGCTTCTCATTGTGGTGGCTTCTCGTTGCAGAGCACGGGCTCTAGGCACTCGGGCTTCAGTAGTTGTGGCACGCGGGGTCAGTAGTTGTGGCTTGCGGGCTCTAGAGCACAGGCTCAGTAGTGTGGCACACAGGCTTAGTTGCTCCACGGCATGTGGGATTTTCCTGGACCAGGGATCAAACCCATGTCCCCTGCATTGGCAGGCAGATTCTTAACCACTGCACCACCAGGGAAGTCTTCTGCAGTTGAATTTAAGTATAAATGTTTGGCTTAAGAATACTTTACTTCTTAATTTGATATTTTTTAAAATTATGAGTTGGTAATGGAGAAACAAATAAATAATTGACTCTTTAAACAGTCTCATTGATATAATAGGGACTTAAAAATCATTTTGGAGAAAAAAGCAGTAGTAAATCTCTTGGAGTTTCAATAGCTATTCTAGAAGATAGGAGGACAAGAAGATTACATTTGAAAACAAGATGATTAATAAGAGGCTGATGGCAAAAAATTGCAGTGGGATAAAAATAAAGTGGAAATTAACCTTTTAAATTACAACTTTACGCTGTAAAGGCCACAGACTATGAGAAAAAAGTCACTTAATAAAGTACTCCTGAGGATTCCTATTTTAACTTCTCTAGCATGTTTTTGTTAAGTGGCTTAAAATGGAATTTTACCTTGGTTAGATATTAGTCTTAAGTAATAAGCAGCTGTTTGCCCTTGAGAGGTAGTGTGGGCCAGTGCAGAAAGCCCTAGGCCAGAAGCAGGAACCTCAGCTTCCTGTTCTTGATGCAGTCCTTGATTTGCAAGGTTAGGTAAATTGCTTAATCTCCCTGCCTAGATCTCAGTTTTTAAATCTGTAAATGTGGAAGTAGATGATATTGATAGTGTCTTTCAACTCTAGCCTCTCCTATGCCCTTCTTATTCATGTTAAAGAAATTCCACATAGTTATCAGTGTATAGGAGATTATAAGCAAGAAATAGACATTGAGAGATAGCAGTTGTAATTCAAATGTACCTTGGTAAATTTGAATATTTAGTCAGAATTAAACCAAATATGGTTCATTAAAGCTAGACATAGGGAGATACATCTGTTAAAGAAAAACAGAAAGTATAACTATTAAAGATAAACTGTTAAAGAAACGTCTTCAAAAATGTAACCATTAACAGTTGTATGAAGCACAACAAGTAAAGATGTCACGTCTGTAAAAGAATAGTATATGGGCTTCCCTGGTGGCGCAGTGGTTGGGAGTCCGCCTGCGGATGCAGGGGGGCGCGGGTTCCTGCCCCGGTCCAGGAGGATCCCGCATGCTGCGGAGCGGCTGGGCCCATGGGCCATGGCCGCTGGGCCTGCGCGTCCGGAGCCTGTGCTCCGCAACGGGAGAGGCCACAACAGTGAGAGTCCCGCGTACCGGAAAAAAAAAAAAAAAAAGAATAGTATACAAAAACCATGAGATTGTTCTCTGAACAAACACAGTACATTAAACATTTGGTCATTCACTATGGACACTAGCTTATTTTCTAAACCTACTATTTCTTTTTCTTTATTTAGGAAAGGGGGCATCAAAGAAACAAGCCAAGAGAAATGCTGCTGAGAAATTTCTTGCCAAATTCAGTAATATCTCTCCAGAGAACCACATTTCTTTGGTGAGTAATGATCGGAGGTCTACAATGTTAATGTGATTAAACATCTGTTGCTGTAGGAAACTTCTCTAGATTTCTTTTTGTACAGATACTTCAGAGTTGCAGTTTTAAACAAATCTCTTAACTGTTGAGTAATACACTACCCCAATTTTAGCTGCTTGCAGTATGTGAGCCAGGATCACAGGCGTGGCCAGGTAAGAGAGTTTGGGAGGCACAGTCAGATTCAGAATAATATGATGGTATCTAAAGATGGTAAGTCACTAGTGCCACTTTTGCCTTCAGATTGACAATTCACTCCCATCTCTTGGTTCATCCATTCATTTATCCACTCAGCAAACATTTAGGGAACTCATTATTTGCCAAGCTTGATGCCAGGTACTGGCATTTGGTGAATAAGATAGTCTCTGGCCCTAAGGAGTTTGTAGCCAGCCTACTGAAAGAGAAAAGAACCCTACAGACTGGTCCTTCCAGAGGCGTCTTGGGAACGTAGGAGAAGGATCCAACTAAGACGGGGTTTTAGGAAGACTTCTTGGAGGAAGTAATAGCTGAGCTGAGACCTATAGGATGACAACAGGAAAAAAGAATTCCAGAGAGAAGAAAGACCATGTACAAAGACCCAGGAGTGAAACACTTTATGTGATCTAGGACCGCAGAGTAATTTGGGATGGCTGGAGCATATTCATAGATTTGGAGGGAGGGAGTCTCAAACAATGAGGCCGGAAAGGAAAAGAGGGATTGAATCTTGCAGGAACTACTATGTTAAGGAGATTGAACTTTATCCTGAGGGTAGTGCAAAGTCATTAAATAAATTTAATATGTAAAGGACAAGATCTAATTTATACATTAGAAGGGAAATCACTGGCTGCATTATGGTGAGTGAATGAATATTAGAGTCAAAGAGACCTGCTACAATGCTGTTTTAGAAAAGCAGATGAGAAATGATGGTGGCCTAGACTAAGGTAGTGGCAGTTGAAATGATCGATTTAAAAATTATTTAGAAAACTGAAGTGAATGGGGCATGGTAACTGATTGCATGTAGGGAGTAAGGAAAAAGAAAGAAATAAACATTTTTAGCTTGGCAACAGAGTAGATGGTGGTACCATTCAATAATATGGGGAACACAGAAGATGAGTAGGATTTGAGGGGGAGCGGATAATGAGCTAAACGTAGGATATATTGAATTTGAAATGTTTGTGGAGTAGCTAAGTGAAAATGTTGAGTAGGCAGCTGGTATTCAGATAGAGAACTTAAGAGATTGGGCTACACATAATATATTAATTGAGATTCTGATATTTGTATATAGGTATGTATGGTGGTCCATTATCTGAGAGTAGGATGTTAGGTAGGAAATGAAAAGTGAAGACTATAGGAGTGTCCTAAGCTTCTGATAAAAAAAAAAAAGGGCTCATTCTGTAGGGAAAAAAGACTATATCTGAATAAGTAATATAGTTTTGGTTTTGCTTTTTTAATAGAAAAATATAAAACACTGCATTCACTTCTTTTAAAACTGGATTAGAGATGAAACCATAATCACAAAACACAGGTTTGTAGGTGAATTCTGTTAAATCATCAAGGAAGAGATAATCTTCCATGCTATTTAAACTCTTCCAGTTAATATATATAACATAGGGGAAGCTTCTAAATTTATTTTCCAAAACTAACATAACACTAATATCTGACAATAGCAAATCCCAATGGCAAAAATTATGGATTAATCTCCCTTATGGTGAAACACCTTAATATTCAGTAGAACATTAAAAGAATAATATACCATAGACAAGTAGGGTTTATTTTAGGACTGTAAGAGTATTTCAGTGTTGGTAAATCTATTACTATAACTAATCACATTAATGGGTTAAAGGAGAAAAACATTATCCTCTCAATAGATGCCAAAAAAATTTTGACAGTCATTACTGATAAACTCTTTTAAAATATCCCTATTGTGATTTAAAATATATACCTCAGTGCTCGCTTCGGCAGCACAGAAACTAAAATTGGAACGATAAAGAGAAGATTAGCATGACCCCTGTGCAAGAATGACATGCAAATTCATGAATCGTCCCATATTTTTATAGCCAGGACGTGGAAGCAACCTAAGTGTCCATTGACAGATGAATGGATAAAGAAGACGTGGCACATATATACAATGGAATATTACTCAGCCATAAAAAGAAATGAAATTGAGTTATTTGTAGTGAGGTGGATGGACCTAGAGACTGTCATACAGAGTGAAGTAAGTCAGAAAGAGAAAAACAAATACCATATGCTAACACATATATATGGAATCTTAAAAAAACTAAATGTTTCTGATGAACCTAGGGGCAGGACAGGAATAAAGACGCAGACATAGAGAATGGACTTGAGTACACAGGGAGGGGGAAGGGTAAGCTGGGACAAAGTGAAAGAGTAGCACTGACATATATACACTACCAAATGTAAAATAGCTAGTGGGAAGCAGCTGCATAGCACGGGGAGATCAGCTCGGTGCTTTGTGACCACCTAGAGGGGCAGGATAGGGAGGGTGGGAGGGAGATGCAAGAGGGAGGGGATATGGGGATATATGTATACATATAGCTGCTTCACTTTGTTATACAGCAGAAACTAACACAACACTGTAAAGCAATTATACTCCAATAAAGATGTTAAAAATAAAATAAAATATATACCTCAGGAAAAAAATCAAAATCATGGGTACATGTTTACATGTCTTATCCATTCCCATTAATTTCAGAAATAAAGCAAGGATGCCCACAGATACCTTTTTTTTTTCTTTTGGGTCACACCATGCAGCTCTTGGGATCTTAGTTCCCCAACCAGGGTTTGAACCCAGGCCCTCAGCAGTGAAAGTGCTGAGTCCTCACCACTTCCCAGGACTGCCTGGGAATTCCTGATACCCTTTTTTTTAAACATTGTTCTAGAAGTATCAACCAGCATAATCAGAAAACAAGAGGTTGGAAATAAGAAGAGATAGAAACGATCATTAACTATAAATAATATAATTGTATCCCTATAAAGCCCTAGAGAAAAACTACCAGATATAATAAGAGAATTCATCAAGGTAACTGATCATAAAATTAACATACAGAGTCAATAGCTTTCTCATATTATTTCTGTTACAAAGGTAACCACCAGAATAATTAAAAATAGAAAGGTGAAAATTATTGCTTCTGGAAAGAGGACTTGAAGGTAGGGAGGAGGATTGTTGCTTTTATAATTCTGTACTATTTAATTTTTTTGTTGTATGTGTGTATTACTTTTAATAATAAAATGTATGAAGCTTGATAACATTGATCATTTTATAGCAAAATAGAACTCTGTCCTGAAAAAGCATACTAGAAAAAATTAATAGCTTCCCTATTTATCAATATTACAAAATGGAATATAGAAGAGCCTATTCTCAATAGTAGAAAAGAGGATAATATGACAGGGAATAAACTTAGAAAGAAATGTGCAGGACTCATATGAGAAAAACTTTAAAACTCTAGTGAGGGATTCAACAGAAATTGAATAAATGTAAAGCTATCTATTTTTGATAGAAAGACTCAATACTGTAAATATATGAAAATGTAATATAGTGTTAGTCAAAATCTACCAGAATTCATTTTGGATCTTGATACAACTTTACTGAGTTTATCTGGAAAAATAAACTCAAGAATAGCCAAGAAAACTGAAAAGGAAGAGTACGGGAGGTGGGGTTATACCCTACCAGAAAATAAAACATACTATAAAACTATAGTAGTTAAAACAGCTTTTGTATCGCAATAGACAGAGGATAGGTATAGATGCCAATCCATATAGGAAGATAGTATATGACAACAGTGAGATTTCACATCAGTGGGTGAGAGGATGAATGGTATAGAAATAACTTACAGCCACATTGGCGGGGGAGGTGAGGGGTGGCGGAATACACATGCACACAGGTGTATGATATATTTAGGTTGCTACCTTATTCCTTACATTAAAATAAATTTCAAATGGATCAAAGATTTAAACGTAAGAATTGGAACTGTATGAGAAAACATGGAAGAGCTTTCCTTTTAAAATTCTTAGCATGGAAAAGCCTTTTTAAGCATAACTTAAAACATAGAAGCTGTAAAGTAAGATTCACAAATTTAACTACATAAAATCTACACTGCACAGCAAAATGTCTGTAAATAAAACTAATAAAAACAAAGTAAGAAGAAACTGTTTTGAACACATGAGTAGGAAGGGACTGTTTTCAATACCAAACATAAAGCTTACACATCAATAAAAAAGGCAACCCAGTAGAAGAAATACAAATGGTGGGGAAAAAAATGTTCAACTTTATTTATGCATGTTAAACAAGATATTATTTTCACCTTTAGTGAAAATACCTACAAAGTGTCAAACCTACAAAGTTTGACAATACCTGGTATTGGCTAGGGTGTGAGAAAACAAACACCCTCCAAGACACTTGATGGAAGTATAAATTGGCTCGTAAATCAGTTTGGAAGTATTAATATTTATCAAAATTAAAAGCATACATGTTCTTTGACTCAGCAGTTCTACTTCTAGAAATTATTCTGTCGAGAAAGTCATCCAAGTGCAAAAGAGTTTCATTGTAACACTGTTAGTGAAAGAAACCAGAAACAACCTAAAACCTTCAGTTGGAGACTGGTAAGGTAACTGTAGTGCATGTATGTGCAGTGCAGTGATATGAGAAAACTTAACAGATGAGAAAACTTAACAGTATCAGGTGTAGAAGAGTAAGCTATCACTTTTGTTTAAAAAGATTATACGTGTGTCTGCTTAAACATGCATAGAATGCGTACGGAAGTATACTGAAGAGGTGTTTAATAGCCAGTATCTCTGGGGAGTGGAGCAGAAGTCTGGGGAAGGGGCAGCAAGGAAAAGAGACTGTTCTTCGTATGTATTTGTTCTTGTTACGGGTATCCTTTTACTATATGGATGACCTATGATTTTTTTAAAAACAGCATTTTTTAAAGTTCCAGTCAAGGAATGTAAAATTCTACTTAGTAAATTTTGCAAATTATGCAAAAATTACCCAATTCTTTATCATGGCCATCCCTATGATCTTTTGAAAATCCCTTAACCTCTGTCAAGCTCATTGATAAATAAGACCAAAGTACAGGTTGCCCTACTTACTTCAGAGAATAGTTTTTTGTGGTTTTTCTAATGGCATATTATATGAAAGCAATTTAAAAACCATAAACTAACATGGAACTGCAAAGTATTCTAAGAACAGAAGTGAAAAAGTAAAGATAGAGGGGAAAATAAAGAAAAGAGGAAAAGGAGAAAAGAAAACAGGAAAAAACAAACTCAATTGGGTTCTGGGATAAGTCTGATAAGAATTTTTTGACATCATGCCATTCATTTGAACGTCTTGTTCTCAAACTTGCACATTTCACCTTGTCTACAGTTTCTTTGTTTTCTGCTTTATAGCTGTCAGTTACAGAGACTGGTATTTAATACAAGAAGCCATAAACATATGAAAATTCCTTTATATTTTAATTTGTAAATTGCTCCATTAGGCAGACTCGATTACAGTTGACCCTTGAACAACACAGGTTTTAACGGCTCAGGTCCACTTATATGCAGATTTGTTTCCATAGTAAATACTACAGTCCACGGTTGGTTGATTCTGTGGATGCAGAACTGTGGATACAGAGGGCCAACTATAAGTTATACATGGACTTCTGACTGTGAGTAGTGTCAGCTGCCTTAACCCCCATGTTGTTCAAGGGTCAGCTGTATTGCAGATTTGTTTATCGTGCTCTTAAATATGTTATACATCTTAACGTGACCATCAGAAATTTTGACTGAGACCTTTATACTATACAAAGGTATTTTTAAATACTTCCAGCATATTATTGCACATTCTTTTTTCTTTAACATTGTGGTGTTTGTTAAATGTGTGTGCTTGTTAGTGCTATCTAGTTTAAATCGGAAAGTTTAAACATGCTTTATAAAGTATTAAATGTGAGTGCTTAATTAATACTTATAATAGCGTTGGAACCCAGTCCAAGAGTCTTAACTTTCGTCTCTGTTTTTCAGACAAATGTGGTAGGACATTCTTTAGGTTGTACTTGGCATTCCTTGAGGAATTCTCCTGGTGAAAAGATCAACTTACTGAAAAGAAGCCTCCTCAGTATTCCAAATACAGATTACATCCAGCTGCTTAGTGAAATTGCAAAGGAACAAGGTTTTAATATAACATATTTGGATATAGGTATGATTTTTTTCTTTAGCTTATGCTAAAACCTGTTTATTTTTTTAAATGTTTGAGGAACAAAACCTCTATTATAATTTTTTTCATTGATTGGGGATTCTGACTATATATAATTACTAGAACAGTAACATATATCATTGGTATGTCCCATTCTTATAAACAATAAAAATAGAGGTAACATCTATACAGTTATAATAATAAAAACAATAATAGCTAAGAGTTATAGAGTTACTATGTGCCAGATACTGTTCTAAGGACATAACATATTTCAACCCACAGAATCCTCAAACTGTGAAGTAGATTCTATTATTCTTATATATAAGTGAGGAAAGTAAGACAAAGAAAGGTTGAGAAACTTGCCTGAGATAACATAGCTGCTAGTCAGTGGTAGAGCCAGATTAGAAGAGTCCCTGCTGATATAATATCTATTAAACCAGCCCTGATGGGCAGCTGGACAAATAAAAAGGCACCCACATTTCTAGAACAAGTACCAAGTTTGTGGGGGTCAGGCCACACGTCTTCTCTCCACTTTATCACTGTGTACCACTTCTGGGAGATAAATGGGGACAATTTATAGTTTTATCTCATCTCAGCTATGAACTGCTGTATTTTTTCTAGCTCATAATTACTCAGATAGACAAATGTAGACAGATTGGAAAGCAATCAATGTGGATTTTCTTTTAATGCAGTTTATAACTGGCTAATTTGTTTGTATGTGTGTGTTCATGTGTGTTTTTGGTGTCTTGATTTAACATCAGTATAGTATGTGAAGAATTTGATACCCCTTATTCTAGCCTTAGTGACCTGGGGGGACCTAGCTTGTCAGAGCTACTAGCACTGAGAAAGTAGGGTGTTTAGGGACTGAAAGAACTTCTAATTTTCTCTGCTACTTTGGGATTGAATGATGGGTCAGGTACAGTGCCTCAATATACTGAGAATTATGCAGAACCTGGGGAATAATGCAGAAAGATGATCAGAAAACGTAGCTGACTGAGAAACCATTCATTCAAAAAATATTTCTTAAGTATCTACACATTGTTGGGTGTTTGAGACACAGATGAATAAGCCATGTCATGAATATGACTATGGAAGGTTTTGAATCTGGGAAAAGAAGGAAACTTGAGATGGTTTTTTAGATTACAAATTAATGATGACTTTGAAATGCTCCTTAGCAATTTTAAGAACTAAATAGTTCTTGTAAACATAGAACAGCAGTTTAAAAACCACAGTCAGTTAGTTTGACTAACTTCTATGCAATTACTTTCAAAAGAACCTCAGTGTTCTCCAAAGAAGATCTACAAATGGCCAAGAAGCACGTGAGAATGTGCTCATTATCATTAGTCATCAGGGACATGCAAATCAAAACAACAGTGAGGTACCAATTCACACCCAGTAAGATGGCTATGATGAATAAAATAGAAAATAACCAATGCTGGTAAAGATATAGAGAAATTGTAGCCCTCATATGTTACATAGTGAACATGTAAAATAGTTCAGCTGCTGTGGAAAATTTGAGGAGTTTCGTTGCTCCTCAAATGAATTACCATATGACTTAGTAACTCTACTGCTAAGTATGTACCCAAAAGAATTGAAAGCTGGTATTCCAACAGATACCTGTACACACATGTTCATAGCAGTACTATTCACAATAGCCAAGAGGTAGAAACAGCCCAACGTCCATTGACAGATGAATGAATAAACCAATTGTGGTATATACATGCCATGAAATATTATTCAGCCACAAAAAAGAATGAAGTTCTGATATATGCTACAACATGGATAAACCTCAAAAATAATTATACTAAGTGAAAGACAGACAAAAAAAGTCACATATGATTCCATTTCCATGAACTATCCAGAATAGGTTAATCCATAGATTGGTAGTTGCCAGGGGCTGGGCGGTATGGGTGGGGATAGTGTTTTCCCTTGGGGTGATGAAATGGTGAGAATGTTCTGTAACTGGATAGAGGTGGTGGTTGCACCACATTGTGAATGTACTAAATGCCATTGAATAGTTCACTTTAAAATGGTTAATTTTATGTTATGTGACATTTACCTCAATTTAAAAATGAACCTAGGGCTTCCCTGGTGGTGCAGTGGTTGAGAGTCCGCCTGCCGATGCAGGGGACACGGGTTCGTGCCCCGGTCCGGGAAGATCCCACATGCCGCAGACTGGCTGGGCCCGTGAGCCATGGCCGCTGAGCCTGCGCGTCCGGAGCCTGTGCTCCGCAGTGGGAGAGGCCACAACAGTGAGAGGCCCGCGTACTGCAAAGAAAAAAAAAAAAGAACCTAGATGCTAGAACTAGAAAGCCTTTTCACACATTAAATAATCCCATTGTATCTGGATATTTTATACTATATTGATTCTAGCTGAAATAACATTTAATCATGACAATTTCAAACAACTCACCTGTTTCTACTCCTTTCCCTGTCTCAATAAACCATCTTTAGTAAGAGTGATTCATCAGATGTTAAGACCGTTTGTTTTCAGGGTTTCAGTGTTGTTTTAAAACATCCTAAACAAATATACAAAATGGAATTAAACTCTCTGCACAGACTTAATAACCAAAGAACATGACATCACAAGGGAGGTTTTGCCCTGAACCGTGTATTTCCTGGTTCAGTGTCTACTGAAAATAACTCTAGACTTCAGAGTGGAAAATACAGTCTCTCCAGTCCTCTAGCAAATGTTTTTTTTTTCCCTTTTAAAAAAGTTGCTGTGGTTCAGTAATTTGCAAACACTGTTAAACTAACCACATTAAGATTGCCTTGGGAGCTCTTTGAAAATGCAGGAATCTGGCCACTCCAACCCCTACCCCTGCGTTTCTGATAGAGCAGGCTGGAGTGAGGCCCAGGCACCTGGATTTCTTTAAAGTTCCCCCAGGTGATTATGAAGCACAGCTGTGTTAGAGAACCGCTGTAGCTGGGCAGTTTGTACAAGAATGACAAAGATAAGTGGAGTAGTATACCATGGATGCTTAGGGAGAAAGACGGTAATAACAATTGTATTGTTTTTACAAGGGATCTGCTTTCTGTGCACGTGGCATTAATCATCACGTCTGAATGTGTCATTGCAGAAGAACTGAGTGCCAATGGACAGTATCAATGTCTCGCTGAATTGTCCACCAGTCCCATCACAGTCTGTCATGGCTCGGGGATCTCCTGTGGCAGTGCGCAGAGTGATGCAGCTCACAATGCTCTGCAGTATTTAAAGATAATAGCAGAAAGGAAGTAAACGTGGGACAATTAGAAAACCCTTCAGTAGCACATAAGAAGTCCCCCTTTCTCCCCTTCCCAAGTAAAACATTTACTAGAATGTTTGAGTTTGTGTGTTGGTTCTAAATCTCTTCATAGATTCCATGAACACTCCAGATTTAATTATCTCCTGGTAGTTGTTATTAAGATGTTTTTAATGGCTTCGACTTTGTATTGGTATATTGTATTTATAAACTTTGTACCATAGGCAGAGTGTAGCACCCATTTTACAATGCCATGTACATAGAAGGAAAAAACTGCATGATTGTTGTTGTTGATGAGGAGGAGGATAAAATAAAACTGCTAGCAACAGTCTTTCCTACTGGTGCTTAACCCCTTCTTTGTGCAAGGCTTTGTAAAGGGATTTCGAAGGAAGCCCCTTAGAATTAGTGTTGAGGAACGCACTAACAGGTTTTAATTGAATGTGATTGTTAAATTTCAGGGAACGTGATTGGTCTGCTGTGTATTTGAATCCATGTAATAAAGAGCTGTTGTTATAATGGGTTCTGTTCATTTCATTAAAGTGCTACTGACTCGACTGTGGCCCTGTTCTTTTTAGCCATTCTTGTAACATCACAATGTGGATACTGTGTTATTTACATATCTCTAGTTTACTTCTTAGAGTCAAAGGTAAAAAAAAAACCAAAAATTTACAAATGTATATGTGATGAATCACTTCCATATTTTCTCTACGCATATGCAGTGTTGTCTTATGCTTTGACATATAACCATTCATAGATGAATAGTAGTTGAAAAAGCATTAGAATTACTGAAACAAAACTTTCCAGTGCACTCAATTCAGTTACAAGAATGTTTCAAACAAAATAGTGAGTGCTTCAAAGGTTAGGGAATAAGCCTCATGAGCAAATTTTAATTTTGCCTTTTATGTTTTCATATATCATCTCATAACACCTCAAGTCTGCCATCTGTCAGTGCCAGCTGATAGTGCTACACCTGTAGATCAGGGAATACCTCAGAGAGGAAGAGAGCGCTCAGTGATAAAGGTAGATGTTGACAACCTCAAGTGTCAGTCTAGCAGGAAGTATGGAACAAATGTTTTTCTGTCTGGAAAAAAGATAACCTGAGTGCAATCCTTTGAGAATAATAAACCTACCTAATAAAGGGAAACCAGTGTGTGTAACTTGTTTAAAGCTCTAAAGAGCATTTAACTTAGTTTCACGTTATAAGCCATGTGTACGTCAATTAAATCAGGATTTCAGTTATTTTGGGGGTGAGGTTAAGGAACACACAAAGACTGGAAACAAAGTTTAGGCATAAAGTGGAGCATTAAGATTGGATTAACCTTGGGTGTTTATGAATGCTCTGGAATATAGACAGGGCACAATGAACTCACTTTAGAGATGACATCAGACCCTTCTGCACAGTAAAATGCCCACCGTGAAGAGGATAAGTTGGGGGGAGGTTTCATAAGGTGTTGGAAGAAGAAGATGAGGTCCAGCAGGGGGAAAGGACAATGTACTTGGGTTCTAAGCAGTTCAAATGTATTGAAAAAACGATGAGATCTGAGTATAAGGTACCCGGAAGCCATGCTCTTCCTTCTGCCTATGCTTTCTCTACTTCGGGCTACGGAGGAAGCATGTGTTCTTAAAAATACTGTTCAGGGCTTCCCTGGTGGCGCAGTGGTTGAGAGTCCGCCTGCCGATGCAGGGGACACGGGTTTGTGCCCCAGTCCTGGAAGATCCCACATGCTGCAAAGAGGCTGGGCCCGTGAGCCATGGCCACTGAGCCTGCGTGTCCGGAGCCTGTGCTCCGCAACGGGAGAGGCCACAACGGTGAGAGGCCCGCGTACCGCAAAAAAAGAAAAAGAAAATACTGTTCAAATGCCACCTCTGTCAGACTGTCCAGATGTGCTAGGGAGTTACCTGCACCATCAGGTGTTCTTTAACAGCATTTTGTCAAGGCTCTTAACCAATCTAATTGGTTATACTGTTAACCATGTTAGGTGAGTGACTCAAATAGGCTGAACAGGCAACTATGCCTGTTGCATTAGATGCATCAGTAGTGGGGAAATATGCTGTGTGGAGTTTATGACAAGTTCCAATGGGAAAATCACAATGTGGATGCCAAGGATTCTGGATCAAGACCATGCCATCTATAGCGGAGAAGTAAACACCTTTCAACAAACAGCTCCTGATGTGCCAGCGTGCCCTGGTAGAGATGTAGCACCTTATGATGGGATGCTTGGTAGCCATGTAGCCTAAACCACCAATAATGAGCTGGGTTCTTTCAGTCCCATAAAGTCATAAGGTCGGGTTGAGTCATGTCGCAAACATGGAAGATACATCTAGGAGCAAACACAAATATGGCCAGAGGGCACAGTATGCTACATAAGCAGGCAGCCTGGACTCCCAAGTCATCTACCACTGTTGCACCTGTGCCTCTCCCTCAGTTCACACCTGTTGCCAGTGATCCTGTGTGGCCAGTTGATGGAAGAGAAAAGTGCCTGAATTTGACTTGTGGATAGGTAAGGCCAGTACATGGCACAAAGTGAAAATACACGATGGCTATACAAAGGGGTGGCCTTGAAAGATAGTGATGAGGGGAAATCCTCCCAAAGGGCAGAGTTTCAGGCAGTACACCTTGCCATCCATTTGCGTGGAAAGTGGCCCAAGATTAGAATATACTTGAGCAGTGGCAACTGGTGTGGCCAGCCGGCAGAGGCCTGAAAAGAAACAGACTGGAGGACTAGGGACAAGGAGATCTGAGATAAAGCTACATGGACAGGCACAAAGTGTGAAGAGCTTCGTACTGCCTGTTGATCCATACCATAAAGGATCCATGATGGAAGAGGCCCTGAACAACCAAGTTGACAAAATGACATCATCCAGTGTCTGGGATGGAATAGCCACTGTAGCAGGATTGGAGGCTACAGTTGACCCAAAGGGATGGGTGCCCACATACCTAGGCTGATCTAGTTTCATTCACTCCTGAATGTTCAGCCTGCCAGTAACAGAGACCGATGCTGAGTCCCCAATCTTTCAGGAAACAAATGAGCCACTTGGTGGCATGTCAACTTACAGCGGTCCCAGGAGAAAGGTGATTATCAGCTGTAGCCCCGAGGCTAGTTTCAGTGTTGGGGACTGTAGTTTATTTCACTAACTTCTACTACGTTTCCTCTAGGGAAAGAGGCTGGAATCCTGGAGAATGCTCCCAGAACTTATTCTAAGTGGATTCAAGCAATGCAAGGGGTGGACTATCATTGTGGTCTATCACCCAGATCCCACTTAAGGGCTTAAGGAAGGACTTAATCATCCCAGCTGCAGGGAGTGCTGCCGGTGGGCAGTCCTCAGTGGTCAGCAGGACCAATTACATAATTTGTAGGGCCCGGTGCCAAATGAAAATCTAGGACTCCTTGGCCAAAAATTATAAAGAATTTTAGGACAGAGACAGCAGGGTGTTAAACTAAGTGTGGGTTTTTTTTGAGTATGGGTCTTGTGTGACTACATGAGTTGCATGTACGTGAAGGCAGTTCTAGCTATCATCCCTCTTCAGAATTGCCTCAGTTGAAAAGAGTCACTGCATCCAAGGTCACATCCCCTTTTTTGGGCAGCCTGCCTCCACTGACTGGTCAACAAAGACCTCACCGTCTTGCTCCAGTTTGGGGCAATTCCAAAGGGCCCAGCAGCTTTAGAGTTTCCTAGGGGTCCAGCTGATAACTTTGTTGAGACTGTATCGCAATCCAACTTCTCCTCCTGTCCAATCCCAATTTCTTTTTATTCCTTTCAAAGATGGTGATCCCCAAAGCATTCCCTAAATAAACGTCCTGCCACTGTCTCTTCCTCAGAGTCTGCTCCCTGCAGAGCCCAACCTGAGATATGGAGTTATAGTTTAGGGTGAAAAGAAAAATCAGATAAATCATGTTACTTATCAAAAAAATTACAACTCTAAGATACTTTTATTTCTCTTTAGATCATATGTCTTTTGCCTTTTATTTAAAAAAATGCTTTTGTAGGTCTGTGTGGTTGGTGTGTGTATTGCTCTCGTGGCAGGGCACATTGGGATTTTGAAAAGACTCTTCTTGACATCCAAAGGACATTCAGGAAATGAAATAGAAGTGATCCTAATTTGAGGACAAAGCCTGTCATGAGTAAGGCTACATCTAGAATAACACTGCACTTCAAGGGCCAAAGGACAGTTAAATATCTGGGAAGATTTTTAAGAAGCCACATTGTAATATGAGTTCTAAAAAGTTCCAACTTTGAACGCTTCTGAATATTAGAACTAAGCAGCAGCTCTTAATAGAGTAGGGGGGAAAATCAACTTATTTTGATGCGTTCAAGTACAGCTTTACCTGAAAAACTGTAAATTTGTGGAACTACTGACGATGTGGTCCACTCTGAACATTTTACTAGCTTGACAACATATTCAGAATTATTGACAGACAGGAGATAATGATGGCTTTCTGCCACAGATAAAGCTGATACCAGAAAAGGGAAGTTTGGGCTTGTGGGAAGATAACAATAAACCAAGTCTTGCACTTATTCTATTTAATTTACCATTTCCTGATTTCTGCATTTGCCTTTGTAAATTTATTTAGGTTCAAACGTATAAATTCTAACCATCCACAGAGAACAACGTGCAATGAAGATCTGGCAGCTGCTATTCAGAGAGGTCAAAGTTGATGGATGGCATATGTGTCTGCTTGTCTGGTATGAGGTAAGAGTGGGTGTTATGGGAAGGAGACCAGAACAAGCTAGTTCTCCTTCCTATGCTAATCAGAGTGAGTGGATAACTGCAATGCGTCTGTTGCATTTTGTGCTAGTAGATATAACTGAAGTTTGGGGAAATTTTATATGTATCTCAAGAAAAAAGAGGCACAAGACAGAGGCAAACTAAATATTTAAGTATATGGGCTAAAGCCAAAGAAAGGCATGGGTTTAAAAATGCCTCCCTTATAAATTTTTGTATGAGATGAAAAATTTAGGTAGTAGATTGGAAATTAGATGGTAGGGTCTTCCCTGGAGGTGCAGTGGTTGGGAATCCGCCTGCAAGTTCAGGGGACACGGGTTTGAGCCGTGGTCCAGGAAGATCCCACATGCCGCGGAGCGACTAAGCCCGTGCGCCACAACTACTGAGCCTGTGCTCTGGAGCCCACGAGCCACAACTACTGAAGCCCGTTTGTCACAACTACTGAGCCTGCACTCTAGAGCCCTCAAGCCACGACTGCTGGGGCCCGCGCGCCTGGAGCCTGTGCTCTGCGACGGGAGGGGCCGCCAAGGTGAGAGGCCCGCGCACCGCAGCGAGGAGTGGCCCCCACTCACCGCAACTGGAGAGAGGCCCACGTGCAGCAACTGAAGACCCAGCACAGCCATATATACATACATACACACAAGTAAATAAACAAATAAATAAACAGATGGTAGATTCAGTGCTGGGAGCTATTACAAATATTTGCATTCCTATTCATGAGCTTGTACCTTCATTGAATTGCAATCTGCTTCATGGCCAGATGGGTGTGTTACTGCACAGTATTTATTGATTTGAAATTCAGAAATTGATAGGAGTACCATCTATGCCTTATTGCTTGGATTGTTCTGTTTTCCTCTATATTTCTAATGAATAAAGATTTTAATGGCAAAAAAAAGCAGACTAAGGATTTAATATTTGGTTCATGCAAATAA